AATCTCAATCTCTTTGCCATCCATCCTGACTCTGCCAATTGGTCCAGTGGTGAGAATCTTTGTCTTCTTGACATTGAGCCTCAGTCCATACTGAAGGCTGCAGTCCTGGAAGAAATTGTTCCTCCTTCTCCGGCAGAGCATTTGGTGTATTTGGACCACTCACCTCTGGGATCGTAGTGCAGCTTCTTGCCACTAGGCCACCAGAGCTCACTTGTGTCTATATTTTGAATTCTAGAAATTTAAAGTGTTTATATGAGGAGCTAATAGCTTGCTTTTTTAGCAATGTTTCTTAGTAACAGCAAACCTATTCTCTCGGAACTCTCCTCATGATGTCTGTGCTATTTGCTTGTTTCTGTATAAACACATTTTGTTTACTCATTTTAACCTCCCACTCAACAATTTATATCTACTTTGTTTCATAGCATTGGGAGCAATAATCTCAATATAAAATGTTTTCTTCCACTGACTCTTGGGGTTCCCATTTTCGTTCATGCTTTTCTCTTGAAATTTGCTGTCTTCTGAATTTTGTTTTTGGACAAATGATGCCTTTTGTTCTCATATGTTTGACTACCCTGATGAGTACATTCCAGCCTAGTGTTATTATTCTCTATATTTGTCTGATATTTTTTCCATAAAGTCCAGCTTCTTGAATAATCTGCTCAGCATACAGATTAAATAAGCGTGGAGAAAGGATACGATCCTGACACATCTTTCTTGAGTTTACACCTTGAAGCGTTCCCCTGCTATTTCTGGACAACAGTTTCTTGTCTAGGTATAGGTTTTGCATGAGCACAATCAAGTGTTCTGGGATTCCCATTCTCCTCAACGCTAGCCACAGTTTGTTGTGATCCATATGGTTAAATACCTTAACACAGCTAATGAAACACAGATAGATATTCTTTCAGTGATCTCTACTTTCAAGCAAGATCCATCTGATAACAGCAAAGGTATTCCTGGTATATGGCCTCTTCTAAATACAGTTTGAATTTCTTGTAGTTCTCTGTGGATGTACTATTGTAGCTATTTAAAAATAATGTTCAGAAAGATTTTGCTTGCTTGTGATGTTGGTGTTAGGTGCCATCGAGTCATAGACGACTCATAGTGACCCTATGAACGAAAGACCTGAGCACTGTTTATAGAGTTACAGAGGCAAGCCATTTCAGAAGTGGATGCCACTCCTGCTTCCAATCTTGTTTTAATTGGGAAACTCCATCAAACACTGTCCACAATAGATAACTATTATCACATTTGGCACATGCGTGTCACAGTGTTTAGCATCACAGCAACCACGAGTTACCTCTTGTGATATCAACCGTATTTTTTTTTTTTAAATAATGTCTACATTCTGTTGGATCACTTCTTATGAGAATTGGAATAAATATTCATCTCTTCTAGTCAATTGTCCAGAATTGTCCTCCAGATTTCTTGACACAACCTGGTGAGTACTTTCTGGGATGCTTTGTTGGAATATGTTAATTGGTATTACATCAATTCCTGGGGCCTTATTTTTAGCCAATGTCTTCAGAGAAGCTTGAATTTCTTCCTTTATTACCTTTGGTTCTTGACCATATGCTACTCCCTGAAATGATTCTCTGTCAGCCAATTCTGTTTGGTACAGTGACTCTGTGTATTCCTTCCATCTTATTTTCATATTTCTTGCATCATTCAAGATTTTGTCTATTGCATCCTTCAGTATTACAACTCAAGGCTCAAATTTGTTCTTGAGATCTCTTAGCTTGAGAAATGACTAGTGAGTTCCTCCCTTTTGCTTTTCTGACTCCAGCTGTTTGCACATTTTATTATAATACCTTGCTTTGGCTTCTCAAGGGCCTTTTGAAATCTTCTGATCAACTTCTTTAGTTTTTCATTTCTTTGCTTCTCCCTCCACTCCTTGCCCAGCTTCTCAGCATTCTGTTGAGAAGGACCTCTGAGATTTCTGGGCTTTGCAGGTCTCCCTCAGTGAGGGAGACCTCACTCCCCCAACTTGCCTACCAAAGCCCAGGTTCCAGATCTTCCCTCTGAATGTGGGAAAATTTGAAGTTTTAAAAATTAATTAGAATGCATAAAGATTGATATACTAGGCATTAGGGAGCTGAGATGGATGGGTATTTGACCATACTGAATCAGATAATTGCATGATCTACTAAGGTGGGTCTGATACAGGCCAGGGTCTTCGCAATCACCTGTTATGCATCAGAGAGTTGGACAATGACTAAGGAGGATAGAAGGAGAATTGATGCCTTTGAGCTGTGGTGCTGGAGAAGAGTATTGAG